TTTCATATATCTAGAACAGGAGTCGCGTTTTTTAAATTGCACATGTTTGGTGTTGATTAGACGTACGAAAACTCGTTAACTAACCTTCCTCTTCACCTAATTATATCACTTTATAATACTTTTACCTTATATTATCCTATTTTGTGACTACATCCAAGTAAATGCATTGTGATGCCTGAGTTTTGTTCTAGATTATTCAGCTTTGCGGAGTCACTCGTAAAACTGTGTGAATAAACTGATATGATTATGATAAACTGTGTTTGAAACGTCATCCTGTTACGAGCACTGTATCAATATGTGCGAAATATAAAATAAACTTATCTAATACGGAATAATACTCTACCTCAGTGACCTAATTCTACCCTCATTTATCAAGGACTGAGTGAAATTTTGCTGTGCAAAGCATTTCGCCGACCAATTTTTAAAAGACCAGTCCCAAGGATTTCTATAGTCAAAGGAGTGAAAAGTGATTTCATTCGCTTTTACTGGTTGAATCTTCAATTGAGTATGTATTTTCCACATGTTCCTCAAAAGCAAAGAGATTTGATTTAGCATCTGACATCACACGCCAGGCTCTCGAGCGGAAGCCGAATGGGAAGCGACGAGTCAGTCGTCAGTGTAACGGTGACATGGAGAAGGTCATGCGAAGAGGAGATGAAAGCACGTGGATAGACGTGGAGCCATGTGAAAACGTTGGCAGAGAACCGGACGCAATGGAGAAGTGCGGCTGAAGACCTATGTTCCTTTAGGAACTAAGGGAGATGATATTTATAATAATCTGAACAAATGTATGCTTGATCTTTGAGCCCATTAGAGGACACACTCATCTATTGATTTTACTATAAGTGATATCCCATACAATTAGGTAAAGAATGAGAAAATATGTCAATACTTAGAAAAATTATAGTAATGGCTTTACTGATAAAATTACTAAGCACATGTTCTAAGCGATATGAACTGGTGTCATTAAATCAGTGAAACGATAAAAATGAGTAGCATTCATATGCATGAATCAGGTCATGAATAGATTTTTGCTTATTCATAATATTGAAATATTTTTTATCACTCAAATATCTTTTAATTCATCTTCATGATAAATGGTTAGTTAATTGAATTTAATTTCTTTTTTTAAACAACGCGGAGAAATGATACGTTAAGAAGAATCCTATTACGACCTTATTATTATTTTGCATTGAAAAATTCGGTGAACAAAAGCTCAGTAAAACAAGTGCTAACCTGAAGCTCTACTTAATGTCAGGCTATAAATATTGAAAATTGATATGCGTAGCAAAAATGAGTCGCTCAAGTGTTTCCACACAAATGTATACCAGAACTGCTTGAAAAATCAGTTGAACTGTGAAATCTCGATTAACGCAGGTGACAGCCTATCAAGTTTTTCTGTAGTCTATCAAGATGAATCATAAAATTGGTGTCCAGATAGCTTTCAAGCATTGCCAATTATTATTTAATCAGCTAAACTTTTATTCAATATATAAATTTCAGTTCTTCTTATTTCCTTTCAAAGCGAATTGACAATGAGTCGTGTGCAGTTAGTTTGTTCGAAACGGTATTGCACAATACAACACAATTTTCAGTTAAATTCCGTCTTTTAATAACGGATAGAGACCAATCAGATAACCAGGTCTCCATCTGGAAGAAACCGGCATAGATGAGACTACTTAAAAACGGTTAGGGCGACCTAATTACTAAAGGTGGGAAAAATAAAACGATAGGCTGATCACTTTAAAGGACCCCTGAACCGACCACCACTACCTACAACTCATGCAGTAAACACCAGAAGTTTTAAATGATATCAAGCTTCTGAAGTCCCGGAAGGCAGCAGAATTGGATGGAACTCTGTCGAATGCACTACTGCAGGAAGTTTGGACGGAAGGATAGGTACCTACTGATGTGTAGAAAGGCTACCTGGCGAAACTACCGATGAAGGTAGACTAAGGCCTCTGCAAGAACTACAGCGAAATCATGCTCTTTTCTATATCAAGCAGAATATTAGGTCGCATCATTCTGGTACAGAAATGGAACTTCAACACTGTGGCAGAGTATAATTGCATCATAGAATAAATTTATTTGATAAAGTCTCACAGTTTTGATGTGGCTGTGTTCTCTGAGCTGGATAGTTAATTTGCGAAGCTTTCATTGCCCTACTAGGCAACATCTTCAGCGCATACTTCAAATTTTTATCAACCTCAATCAATAAATGTCGAGTGATCCACAATGGAAAACTCAGGGAAGCCGATGATAATCCTGAGTGTGGTGGACGGGATTATGCGGCAGACTATTAGTTTGGAGTGAGAAGATAGAAATATGCTGTACCGATAAGAAGACTGTAGAAGATCTTGATTTTGCGGATGATTTGTGTCTAACTTCACACAAATTTGAAGGCTCACAGGGAAAACAAGACGAGGTAGGCAGAGAAGACAGTACTTCAAGTGAACATAGAAAAGTCAGAGGTGATGAAAGTGAGCAACCAATAGCAGAAACAAGATCCAATCACAATCACCCGGAGAGATCTGAAGGATGTCATTTGCTTCACTTATCTAGACAGCGCCGTTTTAACTGCAGGAAGTTGGCGAGGATTTGGATGTCAAAACCAGAATAGGAAAGGCAAGAGAGACATTCATCACTCTGAAATCAGTTTGAAAATCTTCAGCACTCTGCACCAATGTTAAGAAGTTTATCAATAGCTGCCTTCACTGGCTCCATATTTAAGATAAAATTGCCAGCCTGAAATGATTAGCAACAAGAAATTCTTGAAATTTACCAATCAGGAACCTATTGCTCAATAAATATTCCGATGGACTAGACACACGTTGAGGAGGCCGCTGAGTTACATAGCTCACCAGACAGATCTTCGTGTGGAACCCTAGTGGGAAACGGCGAGTTATACGCAGGTACCAGGGTGACATGGAGATGTTCGTGTAAGGAGGATATGAAAGCTTATAGACAATTGTGTAACCAGTTAAAGAAGAAGGCCACAAAGAACAGGAAAAGTAGAGTTTGAATCTTGTAGTCGCTAACACTAACTATCTTTGCATTCCGTTTTTGTTAATTTAAAATTATGTTACATTATATCTGATTTCAGGCAGCTAAACATAATAAACAAAAATTTCCTAATGCAGATGTTTTTAATTAGTTTGATTTTCTCACTAGTTTTGTTTACCTTCTGATATATTCATTTAGGTGACACAAAAATACTGTATGTCAAACGTGGGATTATAACAAAAAAGAATTATTTTGAAGATTGTTTCATTGCCTGATGATACAGAATTCGAAAATATTCATAATATACTATTTTACGAAGGAAATCTCATTATAGCAAGCTCGTCACTTTTATTTATGGAATGTTTGCGTTATCTGACTGATATTATTCTATGCTTCGCTGTTGTTTCTGCTTAGGGTACTTAATTAAAGGCATATGGCTAACCACTGATCCATATTTTGGTATACTCACTCTACTTAATAAGTAGTTATGCTTTAAAGTGGAACTGTATCACTGCTTCAATTTTCGAATGCTCGATAAGCACTCAAGAAGTCTCGGTTTAAGTACACGAAATCCTTAACCTCGCCTAACCGATAGTTAATCTAGGAAAGAGAAACGTTTAAGCGTGGTGCCAGTTACCAAACCCCTTGAGAAAATGACGATACCATCACTAGGTAAGAGTTCATAGCCAATAGAGCCAGGAGTGTGTCACAAAATCAGCTCGTTATCACTGTAGTCGACAGACACCTGAAATCACGCGAGAAATAGGCTAAATCCATACTGTTTCACTCTCAGCACCCTCTGTATTCACCAATTTTTCCTTGCACCCCATCAAATAGGACTGGAAGTCATTATAAAAGAAAATATATGCTCATAAATAAGTACAAAAATCTCATCTATATTCTATTTGGCTTGCGTTCTATATGATAGCGAAAGTTTGTAGGCTTGAAACTTGTAACTTACTATCTTCAGAAAATCATAACGAATTTGCTATACTTTGTATGCACAATATTTTGAAAGAATTGGAAATCTCGATGAAATGATCCTTATCCACAAGGTGGCTGGTAATTGCACCTCTGTGAATATCCTAAATATCAAGCGCTTCAAACAATCTTTTGCATACAGAAAAAGAGTGTAATCAGTCTCTCACTCCCTTGGTAATTGTATTTTGATTACATTGATTAGTCACCAATATTAGTGATTTCAACTCACTGAGCAAGTTTTTAGTTTTATGAAATATAACATTCTTGAGTTGCTATGTAAGACCACATTCTTACACTGTTTATTAAATTTTTCTGTTTCCCATCTCCTCCTCAGCCCTTATTTTTCTATTTTTACAGCATATAAATTGATGGTTACTTATAAACTAAAAATTGTAATACTTATGTTTCAGATGCGTTCATCTTATAATGTTTTCTCTAATACCTTTCAAACATTGAAGTATGAAATGTTATTATTTACAACCATTGTGATTTCAGGTGGTTTGCAGCTGATGAGGACCTGGCAAATAGAATGATAGCATCATTTTATACTGCAAATCTGGTCTTTCTTTCTTATAAAGGAAACCAAATGTATGAAATCATCATTTTGTCACTAGCTCAGTCTTGGAACGCTCATCAGCGACGAAAGTCCTCCTCCGAAATCCTCCCGACTGCTTGACAACGAACGTCTAACTCTCATTCAGTTTACTGACAGGTTAGGCGTGGGGCAAGCTAATCGTCTCCATAAAAATAACGTCATAGCTGTTGACTCCTCCAGACTTGAAGTACTATGTTCAAGCGGGAACGTGAATAATTAAATATTAAATATTTTTCTCTATGTGAGTCATTTTTTAAAATATTATAAAAGAGGAAAAATCAATCTGCAGTGAAACAGCCATATCCTGTTAAATGCGTAAAAAATGAATATTTTTCACTGCAACACTTATCATACATAATAGCAAGCAAATCAAATATCTACTGAAGTAAAAAAGCAAACAAGATGTTACCTTCACTTACCATCACACGACACATAACCAATTATAAATAAACTGATCAGTATATGAAGTACAATGTGAGACATTCTGCAAAAAAAATTAAATTGACAAGTAGAGAAATAGATGAAATATTAAAAAAAATGATAAACTTAGCATAGAAATAAATTTATGCAGAATATTATTGAACAGTAGATGCATTTAATATGAGGATAAATGAGTGTTTGTTTTCAAACTGTGACGTATTTTCATTCTCTTATTTATACCTTAGGATAATTTTGTGAAGTGAATGAGTGTAGTGTATAGGGAAACTAAAACGCCAGCATATATGTATTATATAGAAAATCAAAACAAATGATTCAGCGAAGAGACTCTTTTCAACGAATTTATCATCAAGCTGTACAATCGTATATATATGGTTTTTAAGAAGTTATATCCGGTGAGGGAATTAAATCATACATAGGTGTGAATGCATAATATTATAATAATAATATGAAATGCAATTAAAACTAAAATGTTTGTGATTATAATCGTAGTTAAATGTCAAGTGGCAAAGCAAATTAATGTCAAAAATAGAATAATTCATAGGATGGATAGAACTTGAAAAAGGGTGTGCAATTATAAGATTAGTAGACAAATCGAATAAAATAAAAATGTTACGTAATATTGTGTGAAATTTAATAGCATAAAATGTAATGTTGTAAAAAGGAATTGATTTAGAATGACAAGTGGAACAAGTGAAATAATACCGGGGACAATTAAAAGTGAGAATAGTAATAGTAACAATTGACTTAATAAGGAAGAGTATACAAATTGAATAGACAAAAATGAAAAAATGAAGAATTGGTAGAGCTAAAATATGATTGGGGATTACCATACTTTAGCATAGAGGGATTAAGTCCATGAAAGTTGGAGGGGTTGAACGAACGTTTTCTGTATACAGAGATCTGGCTTTTCTGTTTCGATAGCCAAAGCTTCAGCAATACAGATGAGTCGGGTACGTAGGGATTTGGGTAAATTACTCTTGCCTTGTAGATGACTTTGAAGGCGGAGGCTATAGAGATAGGGTGATCATTATCAACCACTATCCTGCATGGTTACGAAAAGGTGGAAGTGGAGCAATAAGAAGCGCGATCATTGAACATCTGGTTGATTATTATTATTATTTTATGCATTCACACCTATGTTTCAATTCCCTCACCGGATATAACTTCTTAAAAACCATATATATACGATTGTACAGCTTGATGATAAATTCGTTGTTGAAAAGAGTCTCTTCGCTGAATCACCACTTGTTTTGATTTTCTATATGTTACAATGGGAATTTTCCATGATATATGTATTAAGCTATCACAAACATGCTTTCCGTCTATACAGCATCTGTTTATATGCTAATTTTAATCAAAATGAAATAGTTATTTCTGTATCATTAATACATGTTAGCATTTGCATCAAGAATGCTCGATTTCCAGCTTGTTAGTTGTGTGTGATTTTGTCCCCACTGAGATTCGAACTAAGCACCTATCCTTCAAACCGCACAACTAACAGATTTCACTGCTAACAACCACCACTCAAATAACTACGTGTAAAACAGAAACTATCGACAAGGCATTTGTTCGATGAGTCGTAATGTCAACAGACACCAAGCAGTAAGGTTCAATAAAAAAGCCTAACGGAAAATTCAACAATAGCGGTAAAAAAATTGGTCGTTTTTATCGGCTTTTGAGTAGTTGTTAGTAAACTCTAAAAGAATGATCATTGTACAAAAGTGTAACAGTTTAAGTTCCTATCCTCTGGAACCCTCCCCCGAGAGAAGCAGTTCAAAAGTAATACCATGAAACTAAATTTGCAGGATATATACAGAGGAAAAAGACGTCTTCAGTGAGGATTTTCAGAAATCTGTGCCACTGTAAAAAGATTCCATGCCTCTTCATAATCATCCCCAATTATTGATTCTTAGTGTCTACAGAACCTCAAAATGACAGTCGACAACTTTCCAGCTGGAAGAGACTCGCAGTTGAATACTTCATGGCCTAGTCACCTGTTTCTTTTCTGATCATCCGAAAGCTTTTTAAATCTACTCCAGCCAAAATTATTTGTCCAGAAGTCGGTGGAATTTAGTATCTTAACTGATTTCACAAAGTCAAGAGAGGAGGAAATTGATGACTGATGATGGTAATTAATAAATGAAAGATAAGATCAGCTCTGGCGAAGATACTTTATGGAGTATAATGCAGTGAACTGAGAATTCACAGAGTTGTGATTAATGAAAATCGGCAACATTTAAACTGCTATTCATGAATAGTACTGAATAGTTAAACTGCTTTATTATTTCATGATTGATTTTTAAAAAGACAGTTGCATTTGGATATTATTCAACTGTAAGGTATTTTAAGCTTTCTAAGTTTCAATGTCTGTGCGTCGGTGGCACAATGGTAAGATGCTCGCCAACCACGCATGTGGTCCGGGGTTCGTTCCCTGGCCACCGGCGCACTCCTTTACCTCGCTAACCCAGTAATAAGGCTGGTAAAGAAGGAAGGTTGGGCATGAGGCTAGCAGCTCCATCCTGTAAAAATAAACACCGCTGCTACCGAAACTTCAAGCCTGTAGCTTGAAGCCCTGTGTTCCAATAGGAAGGTAAAGGAAAAATAAAAAAGTCTCAACGTCTAGGAAGTTTATTTACTTGATCACTCCAAGAATTTTATTATGTAGCCATGCGAAACTAGAAAACGTATTTTAAAGCTTTTTCTCATGGTTCCCCATGTACACATATATACACAGAAGGATGTACAGGAGAAATGCTCAACTGAAGATATCCATTTGTGGAGGTGTGAAGCTTTCATTGCCATCTCGAACAAGCATATTCAAAGTTAACTTCAACATGAGTTTAATGAATATGTTACCGAAAGCCTGGTCATGAAATGTCTATTATCAAATATCAAATCTGCAAGTATAGGCTTTGTAGGGATTTTGTTTGATTGGATGGAAGATTTCATCATGAGCTGACATCAGTTAGAGAACCACTGGAAAACCTGGGAGTACTGGACAGCCAGCTGTTTCGTCTCAGTTTGGGACTCTTCATCAGTACGCACTCACCACCAGGGTTCGAACACAGAAACTTCTGGTTACAAGGCGAGATGAATTCTAACTTCTGCCAATTCACGACATAGCGCGACTATTTCTCAATGTCCTCTTCGATGAGTTACTGCCTCATCTTCAACCTCAAATCTCCACAAACGTGAAAGTAACCGCCAAGAATCAAATATGCTGAGTTGTTTTTCATCAGAGCGTTAAAACATTTTTATCCCATTATTCATATTTCAATATTTAAGTGTTAATTCGATATCCCAAAAAACGTCTGGTAGGACAATCAAAGCTCCACAATTATACATTAAACTCAGAAAAGATAACAATGCCGAATACGTCCGCCTGATCCGTAAATCTACTCCATTACTTCAGACACTTTTGTGAAACTTTCCCAACATTTACGATCATTTTAATAAAACATATATTGTCATCACAAAATTAGGCTAATAAAAAGACAAGGATAATGTGTGATTTATAGCAAAGATAAAACTGTTAAAAGCTTTATTCAATTTATTCTAAAGAGAGTGAAACGAATAAAACCTTAGATCAAGTCGAAACGATATCAACGCTAGTCTATCCTCCCACGGAAATAAAAGGAAATAAAAATAAATATTTAACCATGATTCTTAACTTGTTTGACCTACTTAATTATCTATCCATCTATCTATCTGTCTATCATAATTGCATTTCTAGCCTGACATTTGTTTTACTGTAAACATACGTCATTGTTAGACATTGAAAATAGAATTTTGATTTGCGTGCCGCGTTTTTTAAACTTAAAAATAGAAAATAGTATCATTATTATGACAGGAAATGCTAAAAACTTAGATGACTGCTCTTTCTAGATTTCAAGATAAGAGACATAACTAGTTTGAAACATTGTCTTAGAGGAAAAGGTTCCATTTTACCCCAATACACTAAAATGCCATACTAATTTAACTTTCATGTTTTACTATTTTAAGTTCATAGAGTGTAATTACAATGTGACATGAGAATGGTAGTATAGGCAATAAATATGTATCTGTAAATGAAATTCGAGTTTATATCCCACATCTGTGCATACAAATAGAAACAACTAATTCAGGGGAAAAAACAATCTGTTTTTCAGCAGATTTTATTCGGTTATCTGTACAATCACAGTCATTGTATAGATATTCTTGTTTTAAATGTCTCTTTATGAACTTTTTCAGTCTTAACGCACCACTGAAACATGAGTAACTGTATTTATCTTCTTTTCACATGGATGCATAAAAGTTCGATATGGCAAAAATCAAATCTAAAAACGTATATTAATCGACGCTTAAGTAGACTAAAAGATTAATTTAATGTTATTCAAGATTTCATATTTTAGCGTTGATTTTGTCAATAAACCAATATCATGACACTTGTCTCATCCAAGAGTGTGACTCATTCGCATCTCACCCATGACTCTAGCAGGGTCCGAACCAGAGATCTTCAAGTTACGAGACCAAGCCTACTGGCCATTCAGTCACTGGGTAGAAATTCAGTGATCTGTGAATTCTATGAGTTCGTGATGATATAGCCCTAGCATCAATCAGTTCCTTCATTAACAGTTGTCTTCGCTCAATAGTCAAGATCAGATGGCTGGAAAAGATCAGCAACAAGGATCTCTGGGAGCGAACCAACCAGGAACCGATTGTGAAACAAACAGGCAGGAAGAAATGGAGATGGATTAGTCACACTCTGAGGAAACCATCAAATGACATCACTAGACAAGCCATCGCTCGAGTGGAAACCGAAAAGGAAGCGGCGAGTTGGTCGTCAGTGCGAGGGTGACTTGGAGGAGGTCATGTGAAGAGGAAATGAAAACGTGTGGACAGCCTTGGAGCCAGGTGAAGACTCTAGCAGAGAACCGAATGCAATGAAGATGCACGGCTGAAGCCCTATGTTCTTGTAGGAATTAAAGGAAACAATAATAATAAGTAATAACAATTATCAATCAATCAAGTGCGCCGGTGGCACAGCGGTTAGGACGCTCGCAG